TTTTTTTTTTTTGGACATATCTAGTTAGTAAATCATGCCTTGTGCCGATCTACACTCTCCTAACCTTGCCGATTACATGGCGCAACTTGATGCTGTAGATGCTGAGGTAGTGAAACTGAACGTTTCGTGTTCTCAGCTATTCATTCAAACGCTCAAGGATAATCACGAATATGGCGAAGGTGATCACGTCACTTCAAGCTTAGGGACACTTCTTTCCGGCGTTACTCTTATCTCCAGTACTGTACTAGATTTCATCCCCATCGTAAGGTCCTCAATACAGATGTTGCATGATGTAAGTATTAATTGAAGTAGTCTCAAACTGCGGGCTTCGTTAATAGAGATACGATGGAAGTCTCAGGCGCTAGGAAGAGTTAGATATACATTCGGCGTAAGAGAGAGAGAATACAGTTGAACAGTAATGGAAGTTGCCAGAGCCCGACAACTCAACACAATGGACATACATTATAAACCCTACTTGTAGAGCTTGGGGACAGTTTGCCATGGCGGAGCTGTTAGGAGCCGTCAGTAACCTATGGGATTCTATGTTGCGCCAAAATGTTGGAAGTAGGTATCTTTGGAAGTGAATCGGTACATGAACCAAATCTCAAGAAGTACTCTCTTACCTTTCTCATCTTATAGCCCAACAGCTAATAGGAAACAGCGAGATGTATACTTACGGAGCCATCGGAACCAATGAAGCTGTCTAATCTTATAGATGGAACGCTGATATTAAAGCAGAGCCTGTAGCGGTTTCGATAACCCAAAATTAACCCATTACCTTAAGTTTATGATTATATGAAAGGAAAACGCTATGAACCCTTGCATTAATAAGTTACTTACTATTAAGGTAAGTTATTGATGAAAAGTTAGACAGTTATTAAATAATCGTAAATAATGTTAAAACAAAGACATGGTTTATTGTTGAAATCTTTTTAGTAAGTAAACTTAAAATAAAAGCAAAGAGGCTTATTCAGTGATGAGGTAACCCGGAGACTTGAACTTAAACTCAAAATCTGGTGACTATCTCAAGCTGCTTGCTAGCACTGATCCATGTTGAAAATGGCGCATCTTGCAATCTCAAAGGAAGAAGTTCAAATGGCGTCGCACAGGGATGCGATTCGCCAAGCCAAAGCCATCATCGACGAGATTTGCAACATCTCTGGGACTCCAGGCCTCGCGACCAGCATCTTCAACCTGGAGGGATCATCCGCAGTGAGCTTCTATGGATTTCGAGATGTGAGCCAAGGCCTCCGTCCGGACCTAGACACAGTCTTCAACATCGGCTCACTGTGCAAGGGCTTCACCGCTGTAGCTGTTGCCTGCCTCGTTGCAGATGGAAAGGTATCCTGGGACGACCGCATTGACACTCACCTCCACCATTTACGCAGAAGATATAATGGCACATTCACACTGCGAGACTTGCTTAGCCATCGGAGTGGTCTTTGCAGGTCGGATGCGTTGTTCATTGGATCTGACAACCGGCTCCTTGTCACCAAATCTCAGGGGTTGGAGATCTTCGCATCCCTTGATCCAAGCAGCCCTCCCCGCCAAGACTTCCTCTACAACAACTTCGGATACCACGCTCTCGGCTCCGTTATTGAGCATGTGTCAGGCATGGGTTTTGGAGACTTCCTTAAGAAACGCATCTTTGAACCGTTGAACATGAGCAGGACGTTCACTAGCCTTCCGCCCTATGACGATGAAAATACTTCGTTAGCCTATATGCCTTATTCTAATGGCCAGCTTCGGACAGTTCCAACACCCCAAATATCCAGTGACACGGTAGCCTTTGCAGCTGGCTCCATTCGAAGTTGCGTCCGCGACCTCGTGCGCTATTGTCGTTTTCTACTGAGAGGCTTAAAGCCGGGCGCTCAGGAGCTTGGTCTTTCCTCTGATCATGTTGCCAATATTTTTGAGGCAGTCATCCCTCTGCATGGCCCTCCCCGAACTCTCCGGGAAAGATCCTATGCTATGGGGTGGGCACGTACTCAGCTACCCAACAACATCAACCTCGTTAGCGGAAATGCTGGCTTGTTGGATACATGGCCTGTTATTGGCACAACCAACAATGGGATACTTGTTCTGCATCACAACGGAAATAATATAGGATGCTCTTCCACCATCTATCTCCTTCCAGAGATGGATACTGGTGTGATTGCCCTATCAAATGCCCTCGGACATTGTGACGCCGCTGACTGGGCTGCACAAATTCTGCTCGAAGCCCTTCTTGGAGGGACGATTCAGACTCCATTCACAGAATATGCTACGACGGCAGCCTCCAATGGGCGGTCAGCCATGGATCGAGTACAGAAAGCCCTAGATGAGCAGAGAAAACTAAGTCCACCACCTTCAAACCTTGAGCAATATACTGGCGTTTTCTGGCACAAAACCAAGACGTTTTGTCTTGAGATAACACTTCATACATCTCAACATAAAGAACGCCTTAGTGTCAAGTTTCAAGGGCTAGATGAAGAAAAGTATACTCTCCATCATTACCACTATGACACGTTTGTCTTTAACGAGACATTTGACCAGACTATGAGTCGCGGTCAGTGGTGCAGACCGTTTGGTTTCTACAAAATTGACTTCCTTGTGGAAGGCAAGACAGTTAGCTCGTTGCGATGGAGGTTCGATGATACGGAGGTGGAGGCGCAGGTCTTCAAGCGGTTGTAGACCGGTTAGCTTCTCTTTTAACTCAACTCGCCAGAGAGGGTGTTGGAAGAAACCGCATACCGATCATAACCCTCTATTTTCCTCATCTTCACACTAATAATTCTTGCATTATATGCTGACTAAAAGCATCAAAGCCACACATATTCATTGGAACAATGAGACCTTGGTCGACCACTCGCTAGTTCTTAATTTTCAACGATTGATAAACTCTTAATGTTTCCTTTGCTGAGAGATTGAAATGCACGACAGTCATATCAAAGTCCGGTATACTGCAACTATATTTTAGAACAGAGTTCCCCCATAACAAAGTATTTCGAAGACCTACAGCCTCTTTTCTGAGCTCTGCGACTTCGTCAGTCTCTGGTGGCTATGCATTAAAACGACATGATATTAACCGTTTAGTCAAGCCAGACGTGGGAAAACCCTTGGCTGTTTATCTGACAATATGGGGGGTCGCTGGAACTACATCTTTCCCTACCAAACGATGGGCAGGGGTAGATGGTCCAGCCATATGGTTCATCTCGTATCATATTGCTATATCCTTGCCCACCACCTCCATATGCAGCCGTAGCACTATCCTCACCTAGCGCCCATCGCCTTACAGCGCGGTCAAGACGTGTACCTTGCTGATCATATGTCGTCTGCTGCAAAGCACCCTCGGCTAGGCTAACTGGCTTTTCATGCATTCTGTTTCCGTCGCGAGTATAGCGCGTTTGCCGTTTTCTAAAGTAGACATGGCCTGGCCCAGCCACTCTTTGGCCATTGAGGTAGATCTCGTAACCAAAATGAGGAGGGATTTTCTGTTTCATGTCTGGGCCATCAGTATCTATTTCCTTGTCAGTTCCCTTTATGTCGGCCATAAGAAGGCGAGTCGTATACGTGCCCCAAACTATCTTCAATCTCCAGAGTAACTCGCCGGTCGCTTCTCGATACAGCCAATAATGACCCCATATTTCCACCACTGATCCGTAAGATCCACAATACAATCCTTTTATTAGTTCTTCGATCGAAGTCTTTATATCTTTTAGGTAATGGTCCTTGATTTGATCGCGAGTATTGCCGAGTCCTTCGTGTATGAGCCGAACCAGCTCATTGACACCATGTGGTGGGATGTCTACCACAGCATTGCCTTTTCGATGCGCTGGGTCGATTTGATAATTCTCGAATGGCACCTCGAGCAAATCCATCTGTAATTCCAGCAATTATATCTGTTGACTTGCAAGCAAATTCGTGAAGGTTGAAGATGTAGTCCAAACTACTAATCGGAGGTAAGGTAACGTAAGTCGAAGAGGAGTTTCACCTCAGAGACCAGGTTGAAACATTAAATACACCCAATATGCTTAACATGTTAGTCTTGATAATCAAGAAGTATTACTATACATCAACACCACAGATAAGCCTTGCCAATTCTATTGGATCTGGATGCTCTAAAAGGGTAGTCATCATGCAGATGTTAAATTGAATGGGTCAGATGAAAATGCAATAGTGTGTCAGGATATGGAACACGAACCAGTCATCAGCCTGCACATGATCTATGTGATGCAGTGAGATTAAGGTCGCACCACCACACCAAGCCAAGTCGGTCCGATGCATTGTGCTAGAATATCTAGCCTTGCCATTCAGAAGATGCACAAACATTGCCATCATGGATGAGGTGTACACTATCAATGCCGAAGTCATGTTTAGCGAGAGCGGTAGTCATACCTCTCTGATAGCTACTTGTACCCCACTAGCCGTTCAAGACGTTGACGACCCCCGAAGGACATTGAGGCTGAAATGCGCCGACGTGTTAAACTACCTGGCGGATCGTCTTGAAATTACTTCTCTCGGTTAACTCAGTTCTACAGGCGGCGATCTGGTTGAAATGACGACGCAATTACACCCTAACACATCCGGCCAACTTTACCTGAAGCAAGCAGATAGGATATATAAACTAGCACTACTGTTAATCATACTCTCTCTCTCTTTAGTGCTTATACTAATATATATTTATATAGACTTTATTATGACAAGGCTCAATATAGATATTGATAACTAACCATCTCATTCAGACAGATTTGCCGGGGTCTGCGACTGGCTGCTGTCTCTTTGTCGCTGCAGAAGCGCCGGTGCGATACACAGCTTTCCCAGCGTTGATTCGTGATGTTTTCTGAGCGTTTCTGCACGAGCAAAACCCTTCCCACAACCCCAACGGGTACCGTCTGTTAGAAAGCCCCGGCAGACGTGCTCTCTCCTTCCGTCGTGTGTGCTCTCATGGCGAGTGAGATCACTCCCTCTGGCAAAGCGTTTGTCACAACGCCTACATGCATATCTTCGTTCAGTATCATGAGTTGCTGCATGCGACTCCATGTTGTGTTTCTTGGAGAACTTTTTATCGCAATGTGGGCAATTGAATTCTGTCTGCCGAGGCCTTTTCTGACGCGGTCTCGGGCGGTCGTCTTCGGACTCGGAGGCTTCGACTACCTCTACCACTGCTTCGTCCGCTCTTGGCCTCTCCGCCGTATCTGAAGCAATGACATCTTCGGCTGGCTCAACCCGGCTGGATTCGTCGTGGATGCTTCGTTGTATGTCTTCCAAAGTTGGAAACTCTCTGTCAGCTCGGTTTTCCATTGAATGCACTTGTTGTATATGCACATCTCGCGCATTGGCTGTTAGAAATCCCACTGCAAAGCCAATGCAATTCACATCAGCGCAGCGAAATGGCCGTATATGTTGCATTAGATGCTCCTTTTGTGTATTGCTTGTGGAGAAACCGACCGTAAAAAATTGGCAATTGAATCTTTCGCATTTGAAAAGATGATCTTGTTGCCGTACTTTTCCTCAATTCCAAGCCAAATGCTTTCTTCGGTTGCGCTAAGACAAGTCTGCTCAAGAACGTGGCGAACCTTGATGACAATGTCGTAAAGATCTAAAACAAGTTTCTCTGGCTGTATGTATTGCTTTAGATGCTGTTTGGTTGAGGCTACTGCCTGTTCCAGTTGATCGTAGAAAGGAGCATCCTTAAAGAAGTCCAATTTGTCACTGTGGCGCTTGGCTAGGGTAAGTCGGGTCCCGTTTAGTTTCGAATGCCGCTCAATGAAGACACCTAATGACTCTTGAAGCTCACTCATTTGCGTGTTATGCGAGACACTCCTTGAGATTGCACCAGCTTCTAAATGAGGGAGCCAAAAGAGAACAGCGTAATCCATGAAGGAATAATCGCCGAGCAAAATGTTCTCCTCTGTGGGCTCCTGCGTGAAAATGGGGAGATTGAGATAGTCAATACAAAGGAGGGAGAGCTTTAGCTCCTCAGCGGGAAGATCTATGTACTCTTTCTCGACCAAAAAACTATACGGGGTGGAATCAGCAATAGAAGTTGAATGAAAGCGTGCTAATACCTACGATCTCGCGGTTAGGTGAACTAACTCGACTGTTCCATCAGTACGCTCTTCGATCAAAGACGCGCACAAATCTTTAGCTGATTTTGCAAAGCTGTTGTTTTGAAAATCTACCGACCGATTATCCAAGTCAATCGATTGCATCCCCTGAATTTCGAACCATTTGAGGGGCCTTTTTGCGCACACAAGCCACCTCAGGAGCCTCAAGATATCCTTGAGCAATCCTGAACTGTCTTGAGTAATCCGGCAAATGATACGTTCATACCTATCTTTCATTTAGCTACTAGTTCGCAATATCAAATATGAAACTTACGCAGAGTTGATCTCTTTAGGAAACCTGTCTGGCTGAAGCTCATCTTCGAGGCGAGCGATTGAAATCTGGGCTTCCAGGTTGTTCCAAATCAGCTTCGCTAACAGAAACATTCCTATCCGAACGATTAGTAACTTGATAGACCAAATACCAGAAAATCAATCCTACCTCCTACAGACTGCGATACGTGATTGGAAATTTCACTTGCTTTCCCATCAGTGAACCTGAATATGTCTTTGAGTTTCCCGGCTTCAATATCACAATATTTCTTCATATCATCCATGTTATCCGTCCTACTGATATTGATGCTCGTAAGGCCGGAAAAGTCCTTTCTCGCGACACCATCATCCTGGCTGATGAAGAGACATCTTATTCTTTCCGGGTCAGAAATCGGTAGGTCTTCCACGATTGTTCTAAATAGCCGGGAAATTTTCTGTCGTTGGTCTCTTGGGCACTCATCCAATCCATCCAAGATAATATATATGCTCTTGCATTTTTCAAAAGCAAAATCAAAGAGATATTTCGCTAGGTCGGGGGATGAGAGTGTGCTTTCCCCGCTCCGGCAGCATTGTGAGTAGAATGTAGTTAGTAAGTTGTTGTTCTGCTGTAAAAGTTGTTTGAGGAATGTTCGAAGAATTGACATGAGATTATTTCGCTCCCGGTTGTCTTGTCGACAATAAAAGAACAAAACTGTCGGAGGTGGATCTCTCAGCTCTTGAGCTTCCTTTACGACGAGGGAAGCGAGCACTGATTTCCCTTTTTTTTTTAATATTAGTAACTTCTCCAATGAAACAAAGAATGAGAACATTACCGGAGCCTGGTATGCCTTTTAGCCAGAGTAAAGGAGGAATGGGAGGAAAACGCTGATTGAACCACGAGCTAAAGATGGCGTTCTTGAGGAGCCAGTGACCGGTGCCGGGGTACTCTTCTCGAAGTTTACACATATAATGATGATCTAAGTCAACATCCGATGCCTTCAACCAATCAAAGACGGTTTTCAGTTGGCGCTGTTCTTCTTCTTCGAATCTTGCATTCGTCCCTTGTTGTACCATCTCAATATTGGTCCGAGCTTCTTCGATTTCACACGGACTAGCCTGATTCTCAAGCAGGCTTTTATCCTGTGCAATTTTATTGATTTGTCTCATGAAGCGTTCTCTTCGTCGTTTCCATGTTTGGTCGAAGTCTTTTTCCCAGTCTACCGATAGTAATCATATAAGTACACGTGATATATAATCAGAAACAGCTTAACACCTACGTGGCTGTTTATAGTAGTCCAAAAGAATAGAGTGAAACTCTAAAAGATTTTGATACATATTGGCTAAGATTGACTTCATGTGAGGCTGGGTATGGAATAGTCGGTCCCCATCAGGTAAAAGAGGTAAGCCCTCTCCAATCTCTTTATATGCAATAAGAAGTTGGTCAAAAGCCCTATTATGGGTGCTCGTTTTCTAGTAAAGATGAATTAGCTTGGGCTCTTTCAACATTTAACTTAGTAACCAGAAATCCTACCTTCAGGAGAAACTTGATTGGTCCCTTTTAAGCATCATCATCAGCCTGGTAGCCCTTATTAGCTATTACTTCTTTCGCCACTCACCCATATGTATGGTACAATATCATCACACTGGGTCAATCTCTGGATGACGTTGCCGTAGCGCTGAAGGGAGTTCATAAATTTTTCCAGTCGGGTCAGATCACAATTGTTACGTTCTGATACCTGTTTTGCTTGTATTTGAAGAATAGTGCGTTGCATATCATCAAAGGTTGTAATTTTGAAGTCTTCCAAATCGTCCGAATCAAGCTTTTCTTTGAAGCTTTCCAAATGCGTTTCAAAATCCGAAGGAAGCGCCATTTTAATCACCCTCCAGTTCTCAAGTCACCATAACGTCGTACAAGAGGTAGATAATACGGAAGATGCAAACGTATAGTTGCTGTTCTTTGTTTCGGCGGCTACCACTTCATGAATTCTGCTGTGGCATTGGCTTTACTACGAAGCTGACAGAATATGCAAAATTTAGATTTGGGCTGCGAGAATGATCCCAAAACAATCAGGCATCAGCACGTGACCAAAATGCTCCCTCGTACAGCCCCCTTCTTGGAATCAGCCTCAGCTTACTACGAAAGTTTTCCTACGTGTTTAATTGGTTCTGGGTTGTTGTCCTAATTTCGTGCACATGATGTGTCCTGCATAGGTGCGTCCAATGAGCCTTCAGCTGGACTTGGCAGAAGTCTCAGCCCCCCCCTCCAACAAACACAGCCCCTTTCCTTGCAAAACAATGTCGCTGAGGTGTTGTACGGAAAAAGAAGATATGAATTCCAGCTTACTGTCTGTTTTGAGGAATAAAGCGACCAGACTAAGCAAACGTATCGTGGGAAGACGCTTGCTTCCAGCTACGGGGATGTGAGGGAGTATGCCCAGTGACCCAAGAGCTGCATCTATTGAAGAAGTGGACATGATACGATCTACCAATGAACCGAAGGGAACGGTGTTGAGGATGGTATCAAGAGGTACAGTGAAATGCATGGCTAAAATATATACAACGGATGGCGAATGCGGTGCACTGGTGTCGTATCGATTACTGCCTTTTTGAAATGTGACTGCGTGGCGTACATTTATCCTTTTTATTTGTCGACCAACATCCCGTGACTGATGGCCTACACATGCGAACGATTGTGCCTCATTTCCAGGCAGATGCGTTGACTCATTCGTCGCAATTTGCAAGGGGTCATGTAAGCCATCATGAAGAAATGGAAACCCACTCTGTTCGCCTAGGTAACACCGCATCAGGTGCACCAAGAAGAAAACCCCCTTTCAGACTCTATCAAGGGCGAGCAAGTCAGGTAAATTTGAGGCGTCCAGCAAGGCAACCAAGATGCGGGTCGTATATGCATGCGTGACTAAGCTGACCATCAACGACGAAAGCAGCAATCGCCTGCCTAACTCCCTAGATTTTTCACTGTTGTGGGCAGTTGGGCACTTGCTAAGCTTCAGGTGATAGTCGGCAAGGCCGCCGTTATAGACACTGGTTCTTGGAACTGATTCTTGGACCTGCTTTCATCCTAGTCTTCTTGAGTCTGCCACCATGCGGATTTTAAGAACAAGGCAGTATGAGCTTGTGGAAGCAAAGGACATCCCCGAACCATTTCCGCCTTACGCCATCTTGTCACACATGTGGATATCGCCAAAGGAGGAAATCACCTATCAAGATTTCAAGACAAGAAAGGAAGACATTGCAAATGATGTCTATAAGCAGACAGGATGGGCAAAGCTGAAGAAATACTGCGATCGTGCGGCCAAGGATGGTTGGGATTGGGCTTGGATGGATACCTGCTGTATTGATAAAACGAACCCCGCAGACACCCAGGAAGCTATCAACGCCATGTTTCGATGGTACCAGAATGCTAGCATTTGCTACGCGTACCTTAGCGATGTGGATGCCTATGGTACCCTTGATGATGCTGGCTTGATTGAGCCGGACCATCCTATGAATGAGGATCTTGATGAGATGCCCGGGATGATTCTAGTTCCTGGAGCGGATAGTAATGATATGCGCACGGCAGTGGGCCGTTTAGTGGTCAAGGCCAAGTGGTTTACGCGAGGCTGGACCTTGCAAGAACTCCTCGCCCCTCGCTACCTTGTTTTCATGGACAGGAATTGGCATCGCATTGGGACTCGAGAGAGTTGGGCTGCCGAAATTAAAGAAGCCAGCCGGATTGAGCCGAAGCATTTAACTACATTCAAGCCAACCGATTTCACCTCATGCTCCATTGCGATGAGGATGTCCTGGGCCTCTTCTAGATATACAACCGTCGAGGAAGATGAGACTTATTCGTTACTGGGCCTCTTTGGAATCAGCTTGCCACTCATCTATGGCGAGGGGCGGTGGCGGGCTTTCGATCGACTGCAACGTGAGCTTATCATGGTATACACCGACGACTCTATTTTTGCGTGGAAATTGAGTCAAGTGAACCAAGGGTTTATTCGCCTACAAAGACAGGGTAAGTGGGTTCCTACCCTGGTCACAGGAGAGGCGAAAATTGATAATTGATCAGGGCAGAAACCTGGACTGGGAATTCTGGCCCCTTCGATTCGAGAGTTTCGAGATGCTTCTCAGATAGAAAGTTTTGGTTACTACGGCCATAGCTTCGAAATGAGCAACTTAGGCCTAAAAACAAATGCCCGGCGTTGGAAATGTCGTAACGATCACACCAAGCTTCTCATTCGTCTCAACTGCGGTCCTGAGCCAAGGGCACACACAGGCATCATGCTTCAGTACGCTGGTGAGGTATTCGAGAGAGTTATGGATAGCGAACTCTATAACTCGAATCATTTCGAGCGCAACAGAGATTGGACAGAGGTACAAGACAAGGAGGGAAAGGATATCATCATCCGTGCGGGCAATTTCCGTGGTCCATTGACGGGTCCGTCAATCTTTACGCTCAGATATCCAGATGAGATAACCGTTGGCTTGAAATATTTCGTGGACTTCAATGTTCCTCTTATGAGTAGGAAATTGGAGATTCTTGATCAATCAAGCCTTTTTGACCATCTGCAACTTCAGGAAAATGAGCTTCTTCTGCAGCCAAATCAGCTGATGTTTGCTAACATTGAGCTACAAACTGGGGAGCATCATTCAAGGTGGAACGTGCTCATAAATATTAATGAGAATGGATTTCCATCTGTCGGTATCGCAAGTCAAGAAGATAGAGGGAAGCAATTGGGAGATCCATTGGGTGAGGCCTCACGGCAATACCAGAATTTGGCGGAAGACTTCCACCTCCAAGCTCAGTCAGAAGGCTGCCTTCCATCGATCGTGGAAACCAAGCAAGGTACCACTGTTAATGTCCATCTTTTCCCCAGACCACCCCGGGAACGTCCTTCCGAGACCACTAGAGACGGCGACTCGTATATTGAATTGAGAGAGTATACACTCAAGATTCTTGTGAGCCAGAATAGCCAACAAAGAACAGTTGTATCTAATGAGCATAGGGGGAAGAGAAGGAAGACTTAAATGGATTAAATCAGCCTTTCTCAATATTTCTCTAGCTTCAGAGCAATTTCTGTGTCTTTATGATGCATTGAATTTCCTGAAACTTGGATTTTCCCTCACCAGCGCTATCGTGGCAGTTTTAGAATCAACGTACAAAGCGGACTGGGGCAAGTCCTGGCTGCATCACCCACTTAAGATCGTTGACCTTGCCCTCGGGGTTCCATGTAGAAGTGAGCGGAAACTGTTGATAGCGAGTGTGGTCGATCATGCACCTACTTTCCTGGTCTTCTCTGGATTTGGACGAGAAATTAAACACGTATTTACTAGAATATACGAGACAATGTAATTGTGCTGTCATACCGGTGATCCAAAACTCTTCAGGTTTACCATTCTGGCTGGCCGGTCGAAGAGTAAGCTGAGGCTTTAGCTCCCTTTGCCTGTAAATACCAAAATTTCCCTGGCCACCCAGTCGGAAGCGCCCCCTACTTCTTGTGAGCTACTTGGACAAATTGTTGCTTACTCCGTTTTGCATGCGAACTTGTAATTACAGCAACTCCAACCAGTGTGAAAGTCTTCGGCGACGGGGAGACTGCCCACCACAAGGTTAGATTCTTTGTCGATGCGCCGTGCCACGACAGGTCCAACTGGGCTTAACCAGTCTGGTGGGAGAGAGCGGCGTGAATGGCTGCCCACACTCTCCCTGTTGGGTCGGAAACTGAACTGAATGGGACATTCTGCGCTAGTCTATCGTGCCAGGACAGGAAGCCAACATGGATTTCATGATGGAACTGACCATCTAAGCAGTGCTGGCCTCCACAGGGAGCGTTTTGGTAGCATCATGCCATCCATCTGCGCATTGCAATACAACCTGACCAAGATACAAAAACACCAAAGGAAACAGACGCCGCGCCTGTTGTCTTACGGAGAAGCCCTCTGATAGGAATAAGGGCATCGAGCCTGTGCGTGGATGGATCACTCAGAGGGGCACACAAGAGCCACAATATCCAACATAGTTACTCACCGTTGTTGCAGCGCGTCTAGGTCAGTTGACACTGTTTGGCATCTTGAAACAAGGACATAGTTAAGTGGAAAAAAGTATAGGAAGAGTTAAAGAGAAAGAGCGAGAACAAAATCGGACTCTGCCAGGCCAGTAGATTGGTGCTGATAATTAGTTAGACCGGCGATGTGAGCAGCGCCTAGATCACATCTGTCTCATTGCGTAAGTCGAAATTTTGGGTTGCATGAACTGAAGCTGGGCGCTCAAGCTGAATGCGATCACATTATTGGACTATGATATAGGTCTTAGTCTATCGTACGTGATTGATGTCGAGTGACGCGCTGGGTATGCATGCTTTCTCAACTGGCTACTTCTCCCTAGTCTCTCTTTGCAATAAAGGGTTGATTTTGGGATATCTATTTGCGGGTTTGTATATGATTGAGTCAAAGTAGGCATTTTACCCTCTACATTCTTTATAAGTTGGAAGGCGAAATTGAAACTCTCGTGACTAACGTCTCGTAGTTTGAACCCATGGAGTTGTATTTATGGGTCGTCTCGGCCTGAAAGCCTCGTTATTCTTCATTGACATCCTGGGCGATCTGACTGGTGTACACTAGCTTCAACGTAGAGCTATCCCCGCCTGAACGATGATTTTCTGACAGACTAGCAAGAAATTCTTCCGGGGCACCGTCCGAGGAGTTGGAAGTCAGTCCAAGGATTATGACAGACGAGACTGCCCCGGTTGGTTGGAATAGATTCCAAGGGAAGCGACGGAAAATGGGGTTCTACCTTCGACCTCGATATAAAGTTATGCTCGGGGTGTTGACCGTGGTTTTCACGCTCGACGATGCGGCGTATGGTGGCAACCGTGTTGGCCAAGTCTCGGTTGGGCAAAAGCACACAAAGAAGGTTCAAAAAAAGGTACTACAAAGTTGCCATATTTGTTCATCACATAAAAGCCTTCATTGTTCAACGGCTCTGAGCGTATTTAGAGACAAGGTACTGATTTTCACGGCCAATTTCCTTGCGAAAAGGCTTCAAGGAATGCTCGCACGGGTGTCTGTAGACATTGCAGTCAAGTTCACCGGAAATGTCTTGGAGTAAAAGAGTATCCGTGGTTACGGCACGACCGACTGCATGGAGTAGTTAAGGCACTACGTGGTACTTGTTGGTACAAGTCTTATGCTGGAACTTTGGGGCACGAACTACATAGAATAGACACAAAAGTCCGTGCCGTGGGTTTACTTGCTCAGGGCAGCTCTCGATCGTCTACAGGGATAAATCAGGTGGCTGTGGGCGGCCTTCTACCATCTCACTCGCAATGTTGGCTTCCACAATCTTCACCCGTGCTGTCTTTCGCCTCAACCTGATATGCTTCGCCAGAAGTTAGCCAAAGAGCTCACCGGGTTGCCTCAGTCGCCAACTTGTGGGTGAGACTTGCTACAAGATGCTCTCTTCGCAACATATATCGCACGTTTTGAGAGAAGTGGAAAGTTAGTCCAACTCTTGGGTGCAAGCTCGTCCGCACGGTAACTCGGTAACTCGGTGGGTTGGCTCAAGCTTGGCAGCGACGGATCGTATTGCGATCGGGACCGAAGGAAGGTGGTTTGGGCGGCCGACGTGATGGTTTCTTTTGCATGGCAAGCGAACTGATCGGAAATTTGGGCTTGGAGGATTGTTCGGTGATCTGGGCAGAGCACGAGAATGGAGTTGGATGATTTCAATCGCGTTACTACAGTCAGTTGTCAGAAATCACAAAGCAAGGTTGCGCAGAACAAGCGAAACAGAGAAGCAAACCAGGGAAGTAATGGGAAAAAAAGATGAACCGAGTGAAAGCCCTTGCGTTGAGCAAGATCCCACCCACCCAGGCTTTGATTCTTTGAGCAGCCTTGGCTCGAGAGGGGAATAAAGAAGGACAAGGGGAAGGGAGGCAGAGACAAGGGGAAAACCGATCCTCATCGTACGAACGAGCAGAACTCGAAGCTACTCTCACTACACACCGTCGGAAGAACAACCCCCATGCCTTTTCTGGGGCGTACGCCAGAAGTAGTGTCATGGAATTTTACACCGGGTTGGTCCGCGAATGCTGCACATGAGAGGGAAGCAACGTACCCGCGGGATAGAAAACCAGCGTTATCCAGAGCGGACCTTAATGGGAAGATGGGGAGTTGATACAATAAGGCAGGATGACTCTAAGGTCAAATGCTGAAAATGGGGATGATGATGATGATGTTGGTGGTGATGTGGGAGGAAAAGAATTTTTTTAATTTGGCAGCGAAGCAGCGAAGTGAAAGTATGAGAAACGTGACGCGTCGCGTTAAGTGACTGTTGTAGGTTGTGAGTGACGTCACGATTCTCTATCGCGCCCGTCCGACGCGTCATCACGTGATACCCACCAGCATCAACAGTAACCCAAGTCAACTTCAATTGCCAAAAGGCGAAGCATCATCACTTGCCCAATGACTGCAATTTCAAGTACGTTTCATTTAATCGGTGGAAACGATGCTTGTTTGAGCATCAAACTTTTCCCTGCAATTCTCTAAGTAGCAGCTTCTCTAGATGGGCCTGTCTCGTCGGGAAATGTGAAAACGACAGTGCACTTGTCTCCATCAAGAACTGTCTGCAAAGCCCGCCCCAGCATTTCCTTTAGCTTTTCAGTCTGGTGTGCCTCGAGCTTGGTCTCCAAGGCATCAATACAAGCCCGCTGTTCCTCCTCAAACCCCTGCATCATGGTCCCCATCTCCTTCTCGAAGTCATACATGGCGGCCCCCATTTCCGACTTCACTTTATCAGCATGCTCCGTTGTTCGCCCGAAAAGCCATATTGACTTATCCATTTCTGCCTTTACATCAGTCTTCTGTTGGTGAAATTGAGAAAGCTTCTGCTTAATGGCATTATCGAGACAGTTGTCGGCCAGACGCTCAACCTCCTGGGCAATCTGATCTTTGACCCGTTTAGCGATGGTATCTACCATCTGTCCAAAACCTGCAAGTTCAAACTCAGACGCACTTTTGGTGTCAGAGCTAGGCACACCTCTACAAAGATGTTCTCCATCATTTTCGTCATCCTCATCGGGTTCGTCCGTGGCTTGGCGTCGTCGCTTCCTCGAGGCTTGGGGGGGACTAGCGATTAATCGTTAGCAAATAAAAGGTAGGAAGAGAAGGAGCGGCGGCAAATATTGGAGATGGGATGTAAGTCAATCGCACCTAGCTTGGATAGCCTCGGACCGGGAGGGGGGTGTGTAGGATGGAAGCGGTTCCACGCCGTTATCATTGAACCGCCCCCGGCCACTCGACAGAATAAGTGTATGGATACCCCATAGTTTTTTGCCGGGGGCTGCGATCAGATGGTCCCTTAGTTGCGGATAGGGAGCTGAAGAAAAGGCCTGTAACAGCTTGCCCTTGACGGCATATGGAAAGTACACTGTAAACTTGGTCTGGGAAGCCAGCTTGTAAAGCTGGGGAGTCTCGTGGAGCACCTCGAATACTCCCATTCCGGTGCTCTGGGTAAAGCTCTCTCCACTCATGATCCAGTGAATGGGCTTCTTGAGCCGCAAGACAAGGGCGCACCATGACTTGCCTTGACGGATGAGAGGAATCTGGTGAGAGTGGACGTTGACTATGCGGCTTGATTTGATTGTCTCGGGCGGTATGACCATCAGAGACGTATTTCTGTTGACCTTGATTGTAAAGTCCATTAAGGGGCTTTCACCATGGAGCCCGATGGATGTCCGAGTGACGTAGCGATCGTCGAAGAAGAAAGCCTCTCCGTCAACATCATCCCACCCAATGAAGCTCAAAGACTTATAAAGGATGTATTCGTGGGACTTCGCCGTATTTGCAGAGGGTTCCGTTGCAGGAGTAGCCGCCATAGTTGCTGGAACAGGGAGAGTAGACAAGGACCATCCGTACTCAAAGAACAGTGTCGCCGGTGTGCCTTTGCTATCCACAGCAAATCCTGGAAGGTTTATTTCTGCCTTGGTGACTGGATGCAGGTACTGTGTAACTCTGTGATTTAAGGGACGCGTCAAGTCGCGTCAAGCACATCGCGTCTAACAATCACTTTGCCCAAATTCACGCTCTACTTTGGACTAAATGAGAAAATCAAGTCTCGGCCTCGCCATATTCATTCTGAGGGCTCATTGATGTCTACTCTGCCTGATAAGGACAAATGCAACTCGCTACTTCCATACATTACATTTGCATCTATTTCAATCCCTCCGTCGCCTGCAGGTAATGGTGACACTGGTAGGCTGCCTATTGAGAATATTCTCATCCATCCAGTCCCGGGTCACTTCCTCGAGATGGTTTCTCATCACAATCTTATCCTCTTCCAGGTCATATAGCTTGTCCTGCAGAGCAGTCTTTACCTCTTCAAGGTCCTTCCTCAGATCATCAACCTCATTCAACATTCTAGACTGCTGCCTGATCACAGACTGGACGTCTCTAGTCAAATCAATGAGCCGTTTGTCGAAAGTATGGCTTTGTGCTTTCAAAAGATCGAGCTGCGACTGTGTAGTCTGCCTGGACTTCTCCACCTGGGAGAGGATCTCCGCGACCTCAGCTCCGGAAAGATGGTTGAAATGATGCTCAGCCGGTTGACTAATCGTGGCCAAGTTGCCTGGAACATTCTTGGCGGTCATTGTACGTTGATCTTGTACGTCGAGTGAATTGATATCTGGCTGAGTGCTGTCTCGTCGAGGCCTCTTTGTTGACTTAGCATGCTGTTCGGCTTGAGCATGCCGAGGAGCTTCGTCGTCCACAACGCCAGCACTGGATACTTCATTCATGGTGGGGTTCCGAGACCTTTTTCGGCCGCTGCTCGCCTGAGCGGAACCCAACTGATCCCGAGACGCTCGCGGAGTATTGACATTGGTAGCCTCGGATTGATTGTATTCGTTGAAAGAAGAGAGTCCATGACTCGGTTGTGGAAGAAGCTGGGCCGGTGGAGTTTCGGCAAGATCATCATCACTGTCCGTCTCACTCATGGCTGAATGCTCTTCGTTGGGATTGGCAAAGTACAAATTATAGGAGGCGTGTTGTCGTTCATCGGATTGGAAGGTGAGTAACAGAGGATCCATGGAAATGGGAGGGGCCATGGGCCGTGATGTAGCAGAACTGGTGTCCGTTTCGTTTGCGAGGGGAGAGGGGATATGACTTAGAGCGAGACAGTCTTTGGTTCTAGCTTCAGCTGTGAGGTGGAGTGACAACAGTTTCCCCATGATGAAACCAACCTCATCAGTGCATCATTGGTCTTTGTTCAAGGTGAGACGAGAAGTTTGCTCACACACGCTGGCCATCTGTTCAATGCTAGCTTGGGTTTAAGCACGTGTTTTGTTTCAAAAGAAAAAGTTGAAACACGCCCAAGATATGCAGCTGGCAAATCCGTGCTTGCTGTTCAGGAAACAAGTGCTGTAATAAATGATTGGTGGGAGAGCAACAGGAATATCAATGTCCGAGAAAATCAGACAACTTTACTCCAAGCCTTCAACAAGCGAGACAAGCTTAAGATCTGTCGGACATTTCTGCAAGAGACTTCTCACCATCACCCGCAAATTTTTGCTTCCTGGTGCAGCAAGACATTTTCCCAAGATGACCTGTGCTTCTTGTCGGTCGGCTTCATCACGAAGATAGTGCAAGTGACGAACGGCAATATGTGTAGGTGCAGAGGCAACATGCATGCGGTACAGGCCAACAGCTGGTTCGAACAATATGGGCAAGGTGGCCATTAAATTCTTGAAACACGGCCGGGCATCCGTAAGATATGCGTCTCGTGATGTATTCTCATCCCTCGTAATATTGCAGAAATCTTGTTGTACTTGAGCCAGGGCAAGACAAGTGGCCCAGAAGAGCGTCATCAAATGGGTAGCGGCCAGCTCATGAAATGTCAACGTTGGTGCAGTTGCGTTGGATAGGTGAGCGTCTAAATCCGACGACCTGATGGCAAGCCGGCGTATTGCTTCCGGCGCAAACTCCATCTCCCACGCGGCAAGCCTCTTATCAACCAACTGACATGCAGAGGAAATGCTGCTCAACTTGTCATCGACCCCGAGCGTACCTGTTGAAAGACAAAGGCTTAGATCGTCAGTCTCACTAATAATCTCAGTGAGACTGGCCAGAATATCTAGTAGAAGGTCTCTGGATGTTTTATTGTGTTTGGTCCATGGTATGGTCAGCCACTCTGGTGAAGCGAGAGGCGTAGGCTTCCTGGCGGCCAAGGCCGAGAAGATCTTTGTCGCATGATATCAGCTCGAGTACCGAAAGGATATCAAAGGATAAGACTTACCAAGTGAAACCTACCATCCACAAACAGTCGGTGAGCATCTCCCTCCATAAACGACGAAGGTGACCGCGCAAACAGCAACGAGATGTCCCCCTTGATATGCGTCAGCCAATTGTCAGCTTGCACCAGCGAACCAGAACTTGAGTTGGTTGGGCCTTCCAAGTTGAATTGCGCCCCGTAATGAGACTAGAATCACATAACTTAGCATCATCTTCTTTACCGGGTCGTGAACATAAAGCATACTTCGTATAAGGTGAAGAGTCGGACAGCTGCCAGAAAGCTATTGCTTTTAGCTCTGTTGGGCAATTGGAACACGGTCGATGCCTCTGCTAGGGCGTCATTGTAAAGGCGCAAGCCGAGTTCTCGAGCACTCGGCATGTCCTCCCAATACCCTTTGGTAGCCAGTGCCAGTGCCAATAGTATGCCCCGTAATACCGAGTCTTCAGATCTGTAAAGGGATTGAACGGCCTGAACCCAGCCCCCGGTGATATTGTGCGCAACATCACACGGGATCTCTCGTCCGTTTGGCAAATATTGGCGCCAAAAAAGATCAACATGCCCCGTCTCGGTCGCTTTTACGGCCAAGGTATCATTGGAAGCCATGGCCCACGCATGTCTAACCGGGGACGCCGTGGCGTTCTTACGAGGCGCTCGATGGTGATGAACGGTATTCGCGCGCTTGATGGTTGTCTGGGTTGCATCAACGAAAGATAGGCTAGATCTGTTAGGATAACCCTCACACGTTATGCATGCTTTGCGACACTGGCTGCAAGTTGGGCGTTTTTGATCACACTAGAGTTGCCATCAACAATCAGTCAAAGGCGTTTTACTAGAAGGGCAATGCGTCTTACTCCTTTACGACGGCGCAAGCAGGTGGTGCAAGCACCAGACCGACCGCGGAGTTTCGCCATGTTGGCTCTGATCCAGCAATTTTCAGCCAAGTTTAGAGAACAATCACCACTCCGTTATCAAGTCGGACGCCCGAGAGTAGGTAGTAGGTATATAGGCCGTATGAGGTAGCAGAGGCGATGCTTTTAATCATGGATCTTGCAGGCGAAGCCAGTTGAACTAGTTAGGCGAGCTAAAACAAGCCTGTCATCAAGAAGTCCTTGGATCACATTGGTGGACTTGAAAAGAAATGGGGCATTTCTTGATGACATTAGTGAGCGTGAGAATGACGACTTTTTGCCCCTTTTTTAGGTGCTTTGCCATTACGATAACACTCCAATAGACTATAACCACAGTTATCTCAAAGCGTCAAGGCACGTCAATACCAATACCATTCAACCTACAATGAGTAGATGCGCCTATTTTTCTTTTTAATGAGTAAATAAATGACTACCCAGCGAGTTGATGGCTATTTGCATTCCTAAAGAAGCGATGAATCTACATCGTGACAAGACGATTACCCTACAGCCCACAAGCTAAATACCATATTTTCCAGCTTTAGACAACTCCTTAGACATGATCTAAGCGCTTGTCACTTAATTCCCAAAGACCCATAACTCAATTCGCTACCCTCTTATGATTGCGGATGAGAAAGTAGTGGTTAGTTGAGTCGGCGTATATCTGATGCAAACTGCCATCTTCAACTTGTTGGCCAGAGAATATCTATGGTCCAAAACGGCGGTGTGGATGCCAGACCCGACATCTCAAGACAACGAACAAGAAAGATCTCTGCCTATTTCACCTGGCTACCTTTTGATTGGTGCCTACAATTCCTCCATTTTCAAGGCGCTCTGCAGCCAGGTCATCCTTGCACGACCCCGTAAAGACCCCAGTTTCACGACGCTTCTGATCCTCTTCGATCTCGTCCAATGGGTAGAAGTCAGGTTCGGATTCGAACATGGCATCAAATTTGTTTTGGATATCAGCTGGAAGTCGCGGGCTGTGCTCACTATCGGTCAGCCAGACACGCAGAAGATGTCGGGGGTTCAAAACGTCTTCAGTAAAGCCACGGCGAGCATGTTGATGATGCAGGTTGTTGACCCTACACTGTCAGTAAAGAATGGCAAGGCGACTAAAAATCTCAACTTACCATTCGATATCACCAACCTCGAGTTGTGTCTTTAGGCTATACTGTTCAGCAACCCACTGCCATCCTCCAAACGCTTCTCTCTCCTCAAAGGTGAGAGGTGGATAGTCACGGTCTCGATCAGGCAGCTGTGACGGCATTAGCCAAAGTATCAGAACACGAAAAAGGGGAATCTTACTTCTCCATAGCCAATGAAGGTGCGTGTGGAAAAGTTCAAAAACACTTTATTATCCTGATTGTGAATCAGGCGAACTCCATCCTCTGGAATCCCATTTCTATGATACATGCATGTCAGCCATAGTTCATTTCAACCGACAAGCATCGGAGGCTATCGTGTACAAGAAAGTGTTACTCACGCTCGCCAACGGAACTTCCTCTCTGCCAGTAACCGTGCAATATCGGGACGATGTTGAACAAGATGATTGTATACTTGGCCTGCGCTGGCCACGGTGGAGATGCCCCCTGTGCCAGTAAGACTGACCGCCATCAAACCAACAATATCACCACCAGCATCGCTATGATACATCTGAGCATTCGTGTCTTGGGCGGAAACATAGATTTTGCCGCGTTGGGAGGGATCGAGGTGTGTAATGCTCTGAAAATAATTGGTTAGTGTATGAGGTCTGAACGGGAGCAGGCCTACAGACTTTGATATGGCAAACTCCTCGACCGGCCCCCTGATTGAGCCGACGGTCTCCGATCCAAGAATTGATGCCTAAAAATGCAATGACTTGCTCCTCCTTGTTGTATCTCTGAATGGGGAATCCCCTCAGAATTTGAACGCCTACACCATTGTAAATGTTGTCTGAAAGTTGGCGCAGAATGGGCCCAACCGTAGGAAGTTTGAAGTTGGATCGATGAATAGAAGAGACTGGAAGCTTGAGCTGCCTCCAAGCCTAACATCTTATTAATCCTGCAGTTCGGCCTTTGTTTACCACGAGACTTGCCTTGATTGCGCTATCAATCTCACTGATTTCGCCATGACTGAGAATCTTGATGTACAAGTCCGCTGAAGTAGATTAGCATAAGGTATGGCTTAGTTGTTCATTATAGACCTCAACGTACGGTTCTTCTCAAGATAATCACCAGTCCAAACATCAGGTCCAGTGAACTGGGTTGGCCAGCCTTGAGGCGGTTTTCCAAAGTCAAATGTCCCGGGATGTGCGGCGTTTGCTTCTTCCCATTCTGGCTTATTCAACAAGAAGCCAGGAGCATCGCTGTACAGCTCGTACGGTTGGATGGTGGCGGTAGCCATGGCTACAGATTGTATTAACTCAAGATGGGGTTGTTGCTACAACCAGAGTAACGTTAGCACGTCAGTTGACATTTAAATAACATTTTTGCTTCTGCTTCGGATAAGATCAATAATTCAAAGCGGCGCTTTACTCCCGAGGTCGGAACCAAGTGAGGTTGGTTGTCCCTTGTTGTTCCCGAGACTGATTACCTGAATCCACTTGACAGTCCTTGACATCACCTGGAGCAGATATTGCACCATCAGTCAGTCCCCACCTCCGGCCGTATAAAACACCTAATGCAGGCGGCGCGAATGGTTGCCGTCTTTGGTTTGGTTCCAAACTCGCCTTTCATCCCCAGTTGATCAAATCAATATCACTATTGCTTCTCTTCATAGCTGTGTTACGCATCATTGGTAAATGATCTTGCGCAATTAGCTACAACTCCCTCAACAACTCAATTAATCCCTCAACACCAAAATCAAATATTGGCATCTCTGTCCCCACTACCGGTTCTCAGCAAGCAGTGGGACGCGGAAAAGGATAACATGAAAAGTTATGACCCTGGTAGACTCCACCCAACACAACGTGCAGGCTCCGCAACGATACGGTCAAAGCCTAGATCGCAGAGTTGGTGTTGCCGCTTATCTGTGCTACCAGCATGTCGGGTGAGAAGCGCGGCTCTAAACTGATGTCGCCATGCAACGCCCGCAACCCTAGATCATATATATACTGAAGCAGGGTCGCTACCAACCATCATCTGAATTATCGCTCATACTCTCCAGCAAGTTGATACAATGTCTCAAATTAGAAAGACACCAAGCCCTCAGGTCATTCCGGTCGTCGAGACGGACAAAGGCCAATCCGACATCCTGTCAACGGATGTAGAGACGGCGGCCCCGAAAAAGAAGTCGTGGTGGAACACATCGGCGAGAACAGGGGAAAGAAAGCTTTTGTTGAAATTGGACCTTTTCATCTTGTAAGTTGACTGAACACTGTTTCTCCACGGCTGGATGACTGATATAGGCTAGATCATGGGCATGCTTTGGCTACTTCCTACGGCTGTTAGACGCTTCAAATATACGTACGTTTAGCCTTTCAACTGTTCCATCATGTCCTGTCTTTGTAAGACCTTTTCACTGACAACTTGCAGGCAACGCTTATGTGTCCGGAATGAAAGAGGTTTGCGCTCTCCTTGGTCGAAAATATGAATGGGACAGATATGCTTACAATCAAAGGACTTGGAACTCTTGAGTGACCAATACAACTACTTCCAGACTCTTTGGACCATAGGATATACAGTGGGCATGATTCCCAGCCAGGTGATTCTCACGTATGTCCGCCCTTCCTTGTGGCTCCCGTCTGTTGAGATCAGCTGGGCCATCATCACATTCTGCTTTGCTGCAGTCAAGAATTACAAACACGTCTATGTCCTGCGTTTACTTCTTGGACTTGCCGAATCTCCCTTCTATGTTGGAGGAATGACGTTGCTTGGTAGCTGGTATACACCTAAAGGTAATCCTCTTGAATTTCGCCCGTCCTTGCAGCTGCTAACATTACTTACCATCCAGAACTAGCGACTCGAGCGACCATATTCTATTCTGCCTCCTTCGCCGCGCAAATGTTCTCCGGGTACCTCCAAGCAGCAGTATACACTGGTCTTGATGGAGTGCACGGACTACCTGGATGGCGATGGCTGTTCATAATTTGCGGCTGTATCAATATTCCTGGCGCAATCTGGGGCTATTTCGCGGTGCCTGACAGCCCGTACAATACCAGAGTGTTCTATCTCAGTGAAGAGGAACGAGCCCTTGCCAAATCTAGAGTCGAGGAGGTCGGCCGAAAGCCCTTTGAAGGCGTGACCTTGAATACATTCAAGAGTGCGCTGTCTCGCCCTTTTGTTTGGGTTTTTGTCGTAAACTACATGTAAGTCCAATGTCTTTACATCCGAGAAATTCGATTATTGACTGAATTCATTTTAGATTCTTTTGCACTGCCACATACGGATCAGACTTTTTCGGTATCTACCTCAAGACTCTGAATGAATATACTGTCCAGCAAGTCAACCTGTAAGACCCCTATTTCCTACGACGAATGTCACCCACTAAGCCTCAGTATCTTAGTATTCCAACCGCAGCATATGCAGTTGGCCTCGTAGGAGCAATCCTGTTTGGTTTTATCTCTGACAGGCTACGCGACCGCGTCTCTGTTGCTTTCGTCGTTGTGCTCTTGAACTTCACAACCTGCGTCGTGCTTGCCACCACTCCTTCCAAGGCCGGAGCCTTTTTCGGTTACCTGGTGAACCCAGCTACAAACTCCTATGGGCCGCTCATTATTGTAAGTCATGCCTCTAGAACTTCAGCTGTTAGATGTAAGCTAACTTTATAAACTTTCTAGTCTCTCCTCGGAGAAACGTTTACCTCTCTAGCGGACGAACGGGCTTTGATCCTGGGAATGGCTCAAACCATGGGCGCTACTTTCAATGCCTGGCTTCCTCTGCTGATCTTCAATACCGGAACACAAGTGCCATATTTCCGCGTTGGTTGGATCACCTCTTCTGCTTGTGCGGCAGCTCAGGCAGCCGGGGTTCTGCTTCTCGGCTACCTTGGGAAAAAGATTGTGCGAGATACGGCCGATCAGAAGCTTTGAGTGAGAATTACTGCGCCTTTTACTTAACTGGCAACATCTGACGCAAGCTTGCTGATGAGGAATGATAGACTCGGGACTTAGTAATCTTCACCTTAAAACCCTGGGATTTGATCGAGTAAACTGGCTCATTGATGTGTACATAATAATGCTATCGTCTTCAGATACAGGCTCTATCACCAATGACTACAGTTAATTATTCTAACTGAAGATTAAGAGTAAAATAATCCGCATGTTACGTAGGTGAAGGCACTCAAAACGCAAGAGTATAATATCCCGCCCTACGTTACTCATCAAACATGGCGGAGTGTAATATTTTGATATGGAGTGATGTAGGCATGCCAATAAGCTGTAATGTTCATGCTCTACAACAGACGACGCTCGAATCCACCCAATTGTATTCAGGGAAAATACTAACCAGTTTGCATCATGCTAGAACGCGAGGAGCATAATGGTGACTGTTGAATGTGGGAAGCTGATGGCCGACATCGGGTTGAGTGGTTAGAAATGAGAAGCCGAGAAGATGCCAAACGTCTGATAAATTGAGTCCCATATTTAGCACCAATAGTTCTTATTGCGTGATTAAACGGAAGAATAACATCATTAGAGACGTAGCAGTCGGAATCCTTTTTTTCTTTTCTTCTTCTCATTTAATTTCTCTAGGCAGTACACCAGACCATTCAAGTTGCCTCTGCTAGAACTGTATGACTATTTAGCACTAACATAACACACAGATGCTCGCAGATTTGTCATAAGTTTTGTTGGAACTACGTCTTTCAACACACTTATCCACCAAATTCTTCATTTTCGTTCTTGCTGGTAAAAATGACTGTCGCAACGGTTGCAAACAACCCACCGTTTGGCCCCAATGTCAGAGTTGCCGTCATCGGTTCTGGAATAAGCGGCATCTCCACCGCAGCCCACCTCCTACGACAAGGTGTAAGTGCCACGGTCTTTGAAAGATCAGGGGAGCCAGGCGGGATTTGGAATTATAAAGAAACCCCTTCACCAGGCCCGAGCTACCCAAGCATCCGCCCGTCTGCCAACGATTATGGCCGCTTGGCCCCTAAGCATGAAGGGATCAGGAGGACCGAGTCCTCCGCCGGCCAAGATGCCCTTTCTCATGCCCATGAGGTCCGAGATGGAGATTCGCTCTTTGCACCGTCTAGTGCCTGCTATGCGGGTCTATACACAAACATTCCCACCAGTCTCATGTATCCCAGTTTGAAATCCTGGCCAGAGGACACCCCCAACCTAGTTCCGCATTCGGCCGTCAAAGGCTTTCTACAAGAACTAAGTGTTGAGTCTGGTGTTAATCAAGTCACGGAATATTGGACCAGAGTGGAGAGCGCAGTCAAAAATCGGGATGGGCAGGGTTGGCGTCTTACGACAAAAACCCTAGTTACGGACGGAGACAAGGCTGTTGAGAAGAGTTGGGATTTTGACGCGGTGGTGGTAGCTTCTGGGCACTACAATCTCCCCCGTGTTCCCGATATTCCAGGACTCGCAGAGCTTAAAGAGCTTTATCCGGGTCGTGTCGTACACTCGAAACAGTACAGACGACCCGAGGCTTATCGAGACAGTGCTGTTTTGATTGTGGGGGGCGGAGTTTCTGCGATGGACATCAGTCGAGAACTGTCTCATACCGCCGCTAGCGTTACTCAAAGTACTCGTGGTGGTGACTTTGATCTTCCCGAGAGATTGATTCCCAAGTCTGTTAGGCGCGTTAAAGGCTTCTCCAAGTTCTCTTGGGCTACAGACTTGGCCCACTCGGGTCAGAGTCATCGAAACGGTCCTATCAATGTCACGCTGAGTGATGGATCTGAACTGCGAGGTCTTCATCATGTAATCTTGGCAACTGGTTACCTCTTCTCGTTCCCCTTTCTACCTCAATTCCACTCCGACAAAACGCCAGCAGCGGCTGTCGACTCGAAGACGCTCGTCGGGGCAGAGGGCGACATGGTTCACAACCTTTACAAAGACATGTTCTACATTGACGATCCTACGTTGGTGTTTGTCGGCCTTCCATACCATGTTGTCACGTTTTCCACCTTTGATTACCAGGCGCAAGTTGCTGCACGGGTCCTATCCGGGCTGTCATCCTTGCCTAGCAGAGCACAAATGCGGTCAGAGTACAACCAACGAGTCAAAGCGAGCGGATTTGGCCTCCGATTCCATAGCCAGGTCGAGGGAGATGCTGAGCTAAGATATGTAAGAGAGTTAATAGAATTGGTATCTCAAAAGGACAAAGGGTCAAGTGAACCTCTTATGGCACCTAGTGACAAGTGGCTTAAGAGCTATGCTGCATTCAAGGCGGGATTAAAGGGTTAAGTTGGGCTGGTATATCAAATCATTCTCAAATAAAATGCATTAACACGAGTGACATCACTGACTGATATTGATAATCTATAGCATAGATGCTTTTTGAGTTGGTGTAAGGGATACGCCCTAGAGTCGGATAAAGCCTTATTTTTTAAAACAAAAAATGATAATCTGGAGAGTGCAACCACTATGAAGCCTTGTCTTCACTGCCGTCTATCTGAAATCGGTGTGTTATTGTCGAATATATCACTTACTCACTCATTAGGTATTGTAACATCAGCAAATGCCCTGCCAATCATATTCATGAGATCCGTCTGAACAGCAGCTACCCTCGACGGAGTTCCATGCAATATTTTTCCAGTTTGCCATTGAAAGGCCGAATGCCTCCTGAATTGCACAGTAGTTTTCGAGGAGACTGCCGCCAAAATAGGCGGGATCGTCACTGTTGATGCTGAACCTCACACCCGAATCTAGAAACTGCCGAATGGGGAGATCTTTGATATCCTGAACACCTCTAAGCACGACATTTCATATCGGACAGACTGTCAGCATGCCCTTGGCATCAACAAGGCGTCGGACTAGCGATGGGTCCTCGATGGCTCAACGCCCGTGGTCGATCCGCTTCACGCCGAGGTCTGATAGAAGACAGACCCTTCTGCGGCCCTGACCTCTCTATCTCTCTCGAAGACAGACCCTTCAGCGGCCCTCTATCCGCGGCGGCCTTCTTCGGCTACCAACTTCCAATTCGGTTTAGCACAGCAGATTTCTCGCCCGGGTCTAGCCTCTAAATGGAAAGTGTAGACCAGGCGGCTTTGATTGGTCCAAAGCTAAGTTCTCAATTTTCGCCACACTAGGAAAGAGAGTTGAAAGCAGTGACATGCCCAAAATATATCTATAAATTACAACAACTCTAGTTCGGCATCCATCTATACTTTCTGAGTCCTGAATCCTTGGATCATTTCTCATATACCAAAAACAGCCATGCCTCCAAGTAGTAAGTAAGTAAGAGAGCTATACAGCTGCTGGAAAAAAAAAAAGAGGAAATTCCTAAATACTATAAATTTAATAACTTAATATTATATCTAGTATTATAATATATTAAATTTTAGTCTTTTTATCTAGCTATATATAAGATTTAATACTAATAATAATTATATCTAGCTATATATAAGATTTAAATTTAAAAACTATATCTAGTAATAATTCTTTTATTAATATAATTTCTTTTATAAATCTTAAGATATTATTTTTTATTTATTTAAAGATTATTATCTCTAGTTTAATTCTAAATAAACTATATAGCTTAAGTCTATATTAATAATATATTTATTTTATAAATTATTATTTTTATTATTATAGATAAGCTAAGTACTATATATTACTATCTTTATAGTTAGTTAAATTAGTTAACTCCTACTTATTACTATTTTTACTATTAGTTAGATTAATTAATTATATATTACTATCTTTATTACTCTAATTAAAAATCCTATTAAGCTCTTACCTGATCTATATCTAAACTTTAATATTAGTAAAATAGAGAAGAAAAAATAGAAATTAATAGCTATAGTATCTATAATAAAGAGTATTTAGCTATAAGATCTTAAAATTAAAAATCTTTCTAAGATTAGTATAAATAATTATAAATTTATAAATACTATAAAAATAGTTAGATCTTTTAAAACTATAGAAATAAAATAAATAATTAGTTTATTTAATTTAACAAGTTACATTCTTAATTAAACTAACTACTTTAAAGAGAAGTAGTTTAATAAGAGTATTATTACTAATAAAAAGTATAACTATTAGTTTTGCCACCTCTCCGAAATCCCGATGAACCTTCAGCCATATCATTCCTAAACTACCGGGAGCAACTTTGCCAGGTACTCGGTCAGATCACAGATTGCACGACTTCGTTCGAAGAACTTCCTTACGAGAAGGTTCTGGAGTTGGATCAGGCTCTTGATGGGCAGATTGACGTTCGTCTAACTTGGCTGGATCCTTCACCACATTTTGAGCTACGGATGATGGAAGATCCCACAACTACGAACCAGGTAATAGAGGCCGATATACTGGCACAGCGGGCGCGCATCATCTTCCACCGAAGGTTCCTTGTCCCTGCTCATGCCAACCCGCAGTAAGTGCCCTCACGCAGCAAGTGCGTCGCAGCTGCAGCGCGGATACTCCAGCATCAAACCGCGGCTTCCCATATCTCATTTAATGTCGATGGTATGAGCGTTCCGAATTGGAGAGCCCTCTCCCTCATGCACGAAGACTTTCTTCTAGCCTCCATAATATTATGCCTCCATATTGACCAAGATATACGCCATGGCCGGATATCGCGACGTCTAGAAGAGTTCCCTGGTGAAGACGCTGAGCTACAAGAGCACCTAGGGTTGTTAAGATCATGTCGAAAAATTCTTCTCGATGCTGATAAGCCGAATCGAGATGCACAAAGAGCTGCACAGGTCATAGAGGCTGTCCTTCTGCAAGCATCCAGGGCTCGAAATGCCAATCTAGATAGGGGCGACGAACTCAAGGGTGCGATCACTGGTGCCTGCCCAGCTACTGACTTTGGACTAGTTGGACCTGAAGATGCATCCTTCGGAGATCCATATTGGTTCGGAAATCAGGTGCCGATGTTTTCCGATTTGGATCAGGCGTTTGCCAGCTTTCCGTCGGAAGAACAGTTTCCTTTCTTGGCTGGCTCGGATTTGAACAATATACTTTCGTTGGGCTCATGAATCCTCGGCCTTGGGATGTTGAAATGAGAATGATAGGGTCTGGTCATTCCATGTCGAGCAGATTCGGCAGTTCGTTGTTAATCCCTCGTTTAGATGTCTTCGATAAGAGAATCATGATTTATATAGTTGATAAGATGTATCTAGCCCAATTATTCAGCCGTACAACTTGATGGCTCGTGAGATTAACTGTCTTCCAAGATCGCTATTACGACTTTGTTATGAGTCTTGACTCCGTATTTTACAAGGCTCAATGACGACGAGATTTATACGGCCAATGATGCGCAACATGCGCAACATTAGAAAACTAGTTGAAGAGAAGAGAAAATAACGCAAAGCGGTGTGATCATGGTTTGAATTTCCAGTGGACTATAGAAATCTATGATGAAACGAGTGCGTATATGAGAAAGATGCGCTTAACACATGCAGCAAAATGAGGAATAAAGATGTCCTGCTTAGCATCTCGACACGAGTGATGCCGAGTGACGAAGAAAAGAGTGTTTTTACAAATGAAGGATACAAGGCTCAAGGTTTATCTAACCGAGCTTGTTAGATATCTCTGGCCTGTAAGCATGGAACATGCCGTTACTCCTTGGGGTACCCAAGCTTGTCCTGGAACCAAAATCGTAACCTCTCCACTCTCCGACGATCCCCCATCCACTCCTGGAAATGAATTGGGTCTGTGTTTACCGTGTCGAAGATGCGAGAATTCCCAGCGGGGGCAGCATCATCTTTGCGGACGCTCCAGGAGCCTGTAACTTGTTGATACTCTGAACTGACGACATAGTTTTGAAGGAGCTTGGCACCTTCTGGGTGAGGTCCACCCTTGAGGATCGCGGAGCGCTGTGCCCACGATGTGAACGGCGCGCCGCTGCTTGGGTACACGACTGTGAAAGGGTCCTGTGATTGCAAGCCAATAGTCGTAGTAAATGTCTGTTCGGCTGAGCGATCAGGGCTGGCGGTATATTAGCTCCGGGCACCCATCTAATGTTCTGCTCGAGGAGTTTATTAAAGAACTCTACCCCGTGCACTTCCATACTGCGTGGGCTTTGTTGGCAATGATCATCAAGGAGATTCATAATATCATCTCACATAAGATCGAAGGTATGAAGTATAGCATCATCTTCATTAGGATAAGTGAGGACAATTTTGTTCTTGAATTCCGGCTTCAGAAAGTCTAGAAATGTCTCGGGAGGATTCGTGCCCCCCAGCTTGCTCTTGTCATACAGAATACTCCATCCATTGACGGCCGACGAGACCCATGCACCATTCGTATCCTTCAAGGCGTTGTAAACTTTGTCAAAATCCAGGGGCTTGTAGTGGAGCAGGACGCCGTCGTTCTTCCACCGGGGGTAATCCTGAGCGGTTTGTAACACGATGTTGTCGACATGAACATTTTCCGTCGCCAGCTGCCGATCTAGTTCTGGCCCGAGGTAGCTCGAGCTCTTGACTGCTACATTGAGCGTCATGCCGGGAAACCTTTTCTCAAAGGCTTCCTTCTTCGGATCTTGCTGGTCGGGGCTGCCTCCGCCGTGCCTTAATGTGACTGTTCCGCCTTCAGCTAGTGCGGCCTGATGAATCTCGTCGAGTGTACGGGACTCTACAAGTGCATTAGAGTTCCAGGCAAAAGTCTGGTCAAAGGAGTACGCTACTCGGAGGTAGGAGAGCAGAAACGAGCTCAGTGCAAAGTGGCGCATTCTGCATGGGATTGGAAAGTTGATGACAGGAAAACTGGGAAAGGAGGGTTGGGGGGAATAACATAGCTCAAAGAAGCTTATTTTGGGGACTTAAATATCCATGACAGGAGTTTATTGGGATGATCCGGGAGTTCCTGTTGCTTCACATGCATTACCTCCGAGGTGGATTCGGAAGTCGGCTTGCCACACACGATTATTGCTGACATGCGAATGAGACTCGCCGATGGGGATGGACTAGAGACTACGACCATCCTCGTATAATCTATGATGCGCCTGGACGCGTCGGCTTCACTAGGTGCATCGTCAAATGACCAACCGAAACCGGTCCGGGTGATCGGGTTTGTCACTCGCCGGACTGGCTCAAGGTGGGACGAGACCTTCACCTATGTTCTTTTTCGATGATTGAATACGCGTTGGTTTCTGTAAACACCTTGGGTTTGATTCATATCTAAATTAGCTTGCTTTTTGTAGGAATCTCCGATACACGGTGAATCATCCCCAGGTGCATACATCTAAAAGAAAACCGTTGAGTCTGAACTGTCACTACAAATATGACTCTTTGATGGTTGTTGTAACTGTTTGAAATTCACTGTGTAGTTATTTCGCAAGCTAGGAGCTGTGAAATGGTAAAAGAAGATTATTCTATAATTTGATCGTCTCAAAACTAAATAAGCCTTCGCTATTCTCGGAAGTCATGATTTCTTATTGCTATGTGCTGTAAGTACTTGGCTTGTCTGTAACGACGAAAGCAGCGATTTGCGAAATAGACAGATTGCCGATATGGACTTGAGCTGTGCGGTTCATTCAGACCAGAGATGGCGGTCTTTAAATAGATGAAAAGCAGCATCTTAAGGTTCATAAAAGGAGTCATGCCGACGAAAGAGTCAT